TGGAAGTTTCAGACTTCAGAACATGGCCACACAGCCCGGAAGACCCACACCAGCCATCGTATTCCGGGCATGAAAGCCTTCGACAATGTATGTTTATAATATTTATCACAAGGTTCTGTGTTTGTGAACTGAACATCCAAATTGAGGACCGCTGCATATTCTATACTAAAATACTGTAGTGGCTGCCTAGATCTTTTCTCACTTATATAAAAGGGGTCACAATAGAACATAACTTTCCAATGGCTCTAAAGCCAGGGTGAAGAATTTATGTCCCCTTAGATGTTGCTTGAACATTAATTCCAATTGTCTGTGATGACTAGACTGTCGACAGCAGAATTCACAATACTGGAGAGAGCAAAGGATTCCTACTCCTCCCTAAAGTAGGTATGTGTGTTTCTCTTCAAAATATGTATTTATTCACAGGATAAAGTTTACATAGTATGGAGAAAATAGAGTTACATTTTTTTTCTTAACATTGTTTATAATTGCATGTTTACACCTACTGCACTGTTGTGTACAAAAAAGTATACTATGGGAAATTCTAGAACTCACATATATATATTCTAAATCTGTAGTCATCCCCCTGCAAAAATGTTTGCTTTTTTTGACCCCCCCCCCAAAATATTATGATTGCGCATTCCCCCCAGATCATTTGAATGGCAAGTTCAATTTCCAGAAGAAGAAAATGATTTGGTGAAAAGTTCTTCATTCCTGCTTAGAAGAAGGAAAAAATTATTTGGTCATCCAGCTGGATATTCCATTCTTTCTGTCAACTTACATCAGGTCTGAAGATCTTGTGTCCTATCAAGCCAAAGATTACATTCAGCGTGCCCAAGGCCTAACATTCATCCTTAAAACTCTGCACCAGAGGCTAGGCCCTATCTTCAAGATGGTTGTCACTCACCGTTCTCTTAGAGAAGTTGGAATTCCTCCCAAGTAATATGAATCAAAATGAAATGTATTTACACTGGCATATAATCTAAGTTTGTCAATCCCAAAAATATACTGTTGTTGGGAAATGGATAAAATAACCTGAAATCAATAAAACAATCAGATTTAAAGCCATTTTTGTTACGCATTATTTCATGACGATTTCAACATTTCACATTTACAAGCAGTATATCTTTATTATTTCTAATATTGTGCCTTTTTATATTTTTTTGAACCACTAGTATTTAATAATTAATTCAAACAATGAACCATCAATATTATAGGGAAAAAATAGAAAAATAAGAGTCTTTTTTAAAAAATAAAGAGTGTTCATGACCTGCTTGTATTTTTTACAAAGTATAGTAAGTCAGCAAGGAATATAAAACCAGCAAGAGGGGAGAGGGAACCTGAAATGTTCTTTTAAAATAGAGGGTTTTTAAAAGGCAACAGCACAAACTTTGCAAGATTTGGTCACCATAAATTTATCTGTGATCCAAATATTTGTTGTTGTTGTTTAGTCGTTAAGTTGTGTCCGACTCTTCGTGACCCCATGAACCATA